GAAGTGCTACTTAAACCTGCCTACAAAGAATAACCAAAAATTAAAATGGCCAAAAGAAAGATTTGGTATACTTCTGCCATTCGGGAATGATACCAGAAGCCAAACATAGTTTTTATAAAAATATTTTGGCCCCAGATGAAATATACGAGAAAAGAACAACAACTAACAGAAAATGTGTCTACACTTATATTTTCTCCGTGCAAAAGTAACTTTTGTTACTTACCGTGTAGTAATTAACAATGTTCTCCGTGCAAAAGTGTTGTAACTTTGAAATTCCTAATTTTTTAGCATTAATATTATTTTATTTAAATTTCTATTTTTGGTTAATGTAATATAGGCTAAAAAGCATGCAAAATCATAATTAAATGTTAATTTTTCTTAAAACTTGTGTCTTATTTCACCGATATTAGCACGAAAATAAACAAAATCGTCTTTATCTCGAAACTTACTTATTCTGACTACTGCACAGTCTCAGGGTACGATGTGCGATATATATATATATATATATATATATATATATATATATATATATATATATATACATATATATATATATATATATATATATATATATATATATATATATATATATATATATATATATATATATATATATAAATGGAGTTGAGGTTAATTGGGTATACAGCTGATTAAAAGCCAAGTGCACTCTGTTTAACAGTTCATTATATTTCGCCAATTTTCATTGGCATCATCAGATGAAAGCTACAATTATTCAAAACATGGTAAAAATAAAAATAATAAAGTAAAAAAATACATTCAATAGTTGTTTGTTGTTTAAGTCTTACTTGATTGAGGTTGCGGCAATATGATTTATTTTAACAAAACAATGGTTTGTGGTACGATGTGGATTGCAGCTTTTTGGGACATATAACATGTAGTTGTTGACGTTCAAAATTAAAATATTAGAAATGACACAATATAAATTAAAAACAAAAACAAAAAACATTTAGTTCGCAGTCATTAAGGTTAAGTACTAGAAATACCAAATATCGAATGTTATTGATTGACGTGTAACAGGAGATAATTAGTTCTGTGGTGTTAATATAGTAGTTGTTTATTGATTCAGTCAGTCGAAGTCGTTAAAAATGTATAATAGTTCATTATACATTAAATTTATTTATAAATTAAAATTAGAAATGTATAATAGTTCATTATACATTTTAACGACTTCGACCGACATATAAAATTTACAGTAGAAACAGAAGACAAACATCAATCAGTCCCATTCCTTGACACTAAACTAATACGCAACAACAACAACGTAATAACAACAGATTGGTATAGGAAACCTATTAGCTCCGGAAGATACATTAACTATTGGTCATATCATAAGCATAGCACAAAAATTAATCTTATAAAACAAATGAAAAACAGAATTTTACTGATTGCTGATCAATCGCTGCATTATAAAAACCTAAAAATCCTGCAACAACTCTTTCTAGACAATTCATATCCAAACACATTACTTACCAAAATACTATTCAATACAACAAACGATACATTATCTGTAACACAAACTATCCCTAATGACACACCACAAAACACTACACCCACAATAGACACAACCACTAACACTAATTTAACTCCATTTAAATACTTTAGATTACCGTTCATACAAGAGTTAACACCAAAACTTACACGAATTTTTAAATCAACTGACGTTAACATAAAAATCGCGAATTACACAGTGTTAAACATTAACTCAATATTCACTAAACTAAAAGATAAGACACCTAAAGATCAATTATCCAATATAGTCTATTGTATCCCTTGCGGAAGTTGTAACAAACAATATATTGGCCAAACCAACAGGCACCTAAAAAATCGTATCACTTCCCACATGAGTGACAGTAGACTATATCCTGATAGATGTTACCTTGCAAAACACGTACATAATGAACACCATGTAATGAACTACAATGCAACAAAGATTCTTGCAATAGAGAATAATCTCAATAAAAGACTCTTCCTCGAGATGGCATTTATCACCCAAATGGATAATCCAATAAATAAGAAATCAGATGTTGAACATCTGAGTGAGATTTATGCTTATCTATTACATATCGAAAAAAACAAACATAACTATTAAATAATTATTTTAACACAACATGTAATTTCAAAATTTTCAAAATCCAATCAATAAACAACTACTATATTAAACCACAGAACTAATTATCTCCTGTTACACGTCAATCAATAACATTCGATATTTGGTATTTCTAGTACTTAACCTTAATGACTGTCTGCGAACTAAACGTTTTTTGTTTTTGTTTTTAATTTATATTGTGTCATTTCTAATATTTTAATTTTGAACGTCAACAACTACATGTTATATGTCCCAAAAAGCTGCAATCCGCATCGTATCACAAACCATTGTTTTGTTAAAATAAATCATATTGCCGCAACCTCAATCAAGTAAGACTTAACAACAAACAACTATTGAATGTATTTTTTTACTTTATTATTTTTATTTTTACCATGTTTTGAATAATTGTAGCTTTCATCTGATGATGCCAATGAAAATTGGCGAAATATAATGAACTGTTAAACAGAGTGCACTTGGCTTTTAATCAGCTGTATACCCAATTAACCTCAACTCCATTTTTATCTACCAGATCGGCTGTTATTTTAGAGGATATATATATATATATATATATATATATATATATATATATATATATATATATATATAAATATATATATATATATATATATATATATATATATATATATATATATACGGATATCTTGGGTTTAATAGTCAATATTGGACTTTGACTTTAAGTAAAACTCTTTTAGGTTTGTTAAGCTTTCGAGTTTATTGTACTGTTTTTCAAAACGCACTAAAAATTAACATAAAAAATTACATTAGAAAAATGAAGTTATTATATCTTCAATAGGCTTACCCTTGTGAGGAGTGTTTTAAAATTAGCAAAATTAATTAACATAATGACATTAAATTTACTTTTTCGTTCTGTCAAAACTTATTACTAAGGTTTCCATGTCTCTTCTATTTTTTTATATTTATTTTAGGTTAGTTTGACAGAGGAAGTGTCTATGTTTATGCAAACCTTCATTGCAAATTTTGACAATAAACTCGAAAGCTTAACGAACCTAAAAGAGTTTTACTTAAAGGCCAATATTGACTACTAAACCCAAGATATCTGTATATATTACTCACATAGTTACTAAAGCCCTATATATATATATATATATATATATATATATATATATATATATATATATATATATAATATATATATATATACATGAAAATCACTAGGTTCTCGGTGAAGAACCGCGTTGAGAATTTATTGCTCGACGTTTCGACAGCCATTTTGGAGTCATTTTCAAGATGGATACGGTTCTGTTTGAGTTCTGGGTCTCTATCTGCCTACTCCAGTCACTCGTGACGTACCAGTATCGTGTTCTCTACAAGAACCATCAAACGGAACTGAGGTCTCTATCTGCCTACTACTCAGTGTCGAGTAACAACTGGTCTTACCCTGTGCTGCTGCTTTTATACTAGCAGTATGCGCTTGGACGGTATGCCGGTCTCGTTTAGCGTCATCGTATGTATTTAAGCTATTGGGCCGTTTGTCAATTTCGATTGCTTCACGAATAATTCTGGATTAAAAAGAACGGATGGAAGCGATGGTCTTTGATTTTTCGAAATCTGTTTTGTGCCCTGTCTGAATATGATGTTGGGCTAGGGCTGAAGTAGTATCGGAATGTTTAACTGATAGAGAATGTTCGTAAATACGATTATGGATTCGTCGGTTTGGCTGTTCTATTTACAAAAGTGGGCAACTGGAACAAGGTATTTCGTAGACACCAAGGTCTTCATTAAAGATTTGATCTTTTACGGATCTGACGAGATTGGACAACAGAGTGAGTAGTGAAGACATTTTTGATGATTAGAGGGGTAAGAGTTCTACTGATCTTGTCAGTGACACCTTTAGTAAAAGGTAGAAAGATTTTAGGATCTGATCTGAATAAGAACATCAAGGAATGGCAAAGACGCTTCAGATTCAACTTCCATCGTGAATTGAATGCGGGGATGTATTCCATTCCTTCACTCAGAGGTCGATGTCGATATATTAGTTGGTAGTTCAGATTTCTTTTCTAGGTGGCGCTAGGAGCTTAAATATAAACTAAAATAAAGATTCAAATTATTTTGATTATTAAATCTTACTTGAAAATAATAGTAACCAATATTATTAATTCTATTATTATGTAATTAATATTTTTATTATTATTAATTAAACGTATCGTTTTTATTTTATGTTGGTAAAACGTTGACGTTTGTTAACCGTTATTTTACTTTTATAATAAGTACAAATGTAAATGTATGTAAATCTTACCATACAATTTTTAGCAATTTTGCGAAAAACTTAATTAGTGATGAGTAAGGTAAGATGATCATCAATTTGTAGAATGAATTAGCAATAAATTAACGGTATTGTTCAAGAATAAAATATGATTGAAATGTCAGACGTTAGTAGTTCAGATTTCTTTCCTAGGTGGCGTAATTAGATTACTGGACAAATAGCCTGACTGGTCGTTCTAGCCTTTTATATGGATAGATTTCTTTGAATGTACCTATTATTTTTACTATTCTATTTTCTCCGTGCCCTCGTTTCTACTCAGCTCTTTACTTGCCGTGTATTTAGTGTTTTTTATCATCAGTCGTTAATCTGTTACATATATAATAGGTATATCATAATTAAATTATCATAATTTTTACATTTCCTTGTACTTTTCTCACTGAACGCATCTTCTGAAATTGGAACACCAATGGTTGAGAAAATGGAGTCAATATATCCTGTGGGATATCTGCCTCTATTTATAGTCTTTTTACCTGTATGGTCTTTCCATGATAAAATCAATTAAGCATAGATTCGATGTGATCCTAAATATGCTAGAGTGTTCTATAATCTGTATGTATTGATTTAAATTAATATTTATAGTGTTCTTACCTGTCTAGTATATGGAGAAAACCTAGAAGTTGACTTTGTTTCTTTTATTTGTCCTTTAGACTTTTCACCAGTGTATAAAATATACTTCTGGAAAAAATTTTGGACTGATCTAAAATAAGAAAACAAGTTAATCGGGAACATTAAATAAATAAGATGTTAATTCTGCTACAAAGGCCTTGGTTAGCGTTTGCACTTTGATATTATCTATTTCGAGTTGTGTATTTGGATATTTGGTGATCTAATAATTAATCTCATTTACTAATTATATCACCGCGATCTCAAAAAAACATTAGTTCTAGGAAGTGTAATTTTTTTAATGATAAATTGATAAATTTAAGCGCGATGCAGTCGTTAATATATTTTTGACAGCTGCATAAAATAATGTGTTTGGAAGAAATGACGCATAGGGAGAAAAACCATTTTCAATCTTTTAATGAATATTATTATTTCAGAAATAAAATGGCGAAGGAAAGTACGTACTAGACGGTCTTCCGGTGCATTTACATCGGAATATGTAATGAAAGTCTATGAAACGGTTTTATCTGATAACAAAATAAATGTGCGTGAATTGAAAAAGGTCACAAAAATTTGTAAACAGCAATCTACTCATATTTTGAATTTTGAATGAAGTTTTGAATATGAAAAAATATCCTGCCGATGGTTGCCACATTTGTTGAACATTGACCAAAAACATAATTTAGTACTTAACTACTTTTCAGCAGTGTTTCGACGTTACGAAGCGGAAACCGTCGAATTTTTGGCTTTGATTGTAATCGTTGAATCTGTTGACCTTTGAATAGACGGTCTCATATGTAGAAGAAAAATGTGTTGTTTCTTCAAGACAACGCACCTGATCACAAAAGTATTTGACAATGGAAAAAATTCATAAATTGGGCTTTGAATTTCTTTCTCATCCCTCCTATTTTCCTGGTTTAGCCATTCCGAATAATATCCGTTTGCAAATCTGAAGAGTAAATATACAATCCAGCTCAACAGAATACTGAGTTACGACTGCAGACAAAAAAATTTGGTTTTTTTTTTCGGTTATTTTGATTCTCATTTTATCTCGTATTAGACTAAATTATCTATGTATCCAATTACAGTAAGTAATTGGCCTTCTCCTTCTTCTTCTATTTCTTCTTCTTACCGTACCTGATTAACTCTCCTTGACGTTGGCGGTTAAAATGGCAAGACTCTCTATCTTGACCTCTTCAGAACAGTAATTCGACTCTCCCATGTCCATTCTCTGACATTTTTCAATCACACAACTTGTTTTCTACCAATTCCCTTATGTGCTTTTACTCATAGTCATTATTCGAAGAATATTATCGTATTTTCCCCGCATTATTCGTCCAAGATATGCTATTTTCTTGGATTTGACGCTAGAAATTGCTGACGAGTACCTAATTTCTTCTCTTTTGAGAACTGCTTTATTTGTTTACTAAGCTGTCTACGGTATTTTTAGTGCTCGTCTATAAAACCACATTTCAAAAGCCTCTAAGCAGCTAATAGTAGATATTTTCAAGGTCCACGCTTCAATGCCATATAAGATAACTAACTATATATTATAACATTTAATTATGCATTTCAGAAGTTGAAGTTATCGTTACAGAAGAGTGACCTCAGTTTTAAAAACTTGGCACGAGCTATCTCAATTCTACATATTCAATCTATATTTATCTAGATCTACTTGTTTAGTAATATAACAACCTAGATATTTAAAATTAATACTTTTTTTATTGGTTGTCTATCTCATGAACTTTTATCTCACCGTGATAAAGGGGCTTTAAAATACATTTAAGTAATCCAACAATTATGGATCATCTGATAGAATTAATTAACAAGCTTATAAGATACAATAAAATATCATAACATAAGAATGAAGTAAAAGCAAGCTAGAATATTCAAAATGGGTGATAAAAATAACCAGAAAACTACAGAGGAAATAGCTTGCTAAATACAAAACAAAGTTACTAGATAATATCAAAAACAAAGGTATCGAGAAATACCTAAGTTCTCTTAAAGCTTCCGAAGATACAGACTACTCACTTTGAAAGCAACAAAAAACTATTTATATTTTGTTTTACAGTTTAGCTGTATTAAATTAAGTGTCTTTCCTTGTCAAACTGTGATCCTTTGTTTTTTATTTATTATCTATAATTTATTTTGATTTTGATTGAAAATTTTTTACCATCTACATCCTTACCCTTCCAAATAAAGCTCCCTGACTATATAAACGTGATCTCTGTTTAGTTTTATGTCAAAAAAGCTTTTTATTATCAACTTTTGTCAGTTTTTTCGCGACACATAAATTGCGCCGCTAACGTGGGGTTTGGTGCTTGAGTATGACACTTAAATAGCATCCTGGATCGTGGAGCTTATTCAAAAATTATATGTTGTTTACAGTATATTTAATTGACTTGAAGAATGCATTCGACAAAGTAAAATTTAAAGGTGTAACACATCCCTGGCGAAAAATAAAAAACTCTTAACTCTGGGTTAAAACAATAAGATGAAAGTCTGAATAGATGGACAACTTACGGAACCGATAAAGAGGCAATGGAATGAGACAGGAGGATTTATTCAACCAACCAAATGTTAGAAGAAGTATCATCCGACTGCGTAAAACATGGAGTAATAAGCTTGTATACAGGCAACAACCTGGCAATGAACAAGCAAAACTGTTTATATGAAGGAAGAAGAAGAAAAAACAAAAATATAATCATTTAATTTGAACCATTTAAAATTTATAAGAACTTATGAGCATCATTTACATCATGCAATTGATTATTCTTAGAGTTAAAAATAATAACGTTACTAACTTTTTATATTTAACCATTAAAAAGAATTCTTCCTCTTCTTCTTTTCTACATTACAATTTTCGATTCTTAGAAACCAAAAAAGAGGTTAATCTTCGTAAATGGGTATATTTAAAAAACCCTTAAAAGGGCCAAATCAAAAAACAAACGTTTTCGGAATAAAACATTCCATCATCAGGTTTAAAATTGCCTAAAATAAGTATAAACCATTTAGTTGAAACAAACGTGTTTTAAAATTTTGACTAGGGTTAAAAAGCAAAAATGGTTATACTTACAAGGTTAACATCCCTGAGCCACCAAAATATCAGGGTAAAAACCCTTTAAATTACATGCAGTTGTAAAAGATTGTACATAATGTTGTTATAAATCTGTGATGTTAAATATTAAATTAAATTTGACTTCAGGTAACATACACCCATGGTTGAAGTGAGTTCCAGTGTCCGGAGAGTAATCCTCTTCAAACGGACTACAGCTGGTAACTGATTGACAAGATATCTATTGACTATGAACGGTGTCAAAAACAAAATGTCAATGTAACATGAAACTATATTAGTTATCCATAGTATTACTACAGCCAAAAGATTCAAAAATTTTGATGCTAATATAAGACCTCGTATTTAAAGTCAGTCACTTCAGTCACTTCCTTTACTTTTATTATTATCAAGTCTCTTCAATTTTAAATTTATTCACATAGGTTATAACTTTCTTCAGCCGGTAGATTTCTAACCCCCTTTTTCAATTTATTAAACTTACTTTTATTAACTTTTTCACCATATGAGCAGTTTTAAATAAAGTAATTTAAATACGAGGTCTTATATTAGCTTAGAAATTCACATAAAGTTCAGCCACTTCTTGGCGTCGGTTGCGAATAGCTGGAGAGATATTTTCCACCATGGAGCGATGCTTTAGATGCTGGTCGATTAGCTCTGCGGCCAAACGTTTTATGTATATTCTACGAAGCAAATTATCATTTTGATTATTGGCCAGATATATAATTTGGAAGTTTATTCCAGCCACATTCTTAACTGAATAAAAAATCACCATTGGCCATCTCCGGGTATTTTGAGCTACATTATACGTGGCACAAAGTTCGTCAACGGTGTCGACCCCACCTTTAGTTGAGTTATAAAACGTTATAATTTCTGGCTTCTGTTGATCATTTCTTGATTCGTCTATTTGATCATTATTGTGCATACTTGAGGCCAGTATGACATTTTTTCCTTCTTGGGTACATAGATACTATTGTAGTATTTTCTTGGAATCCAAACATACTTGAATAAACAGGTCGATGTTTGGTGTTTATAAACTCCAACGGTAATTGTCTTTTGTTTTTTCTCACTGTACCGACGTATGTCAGATTGTGATCACGACGAAGTTTTGTAATAAGCTCAAAGCTAGTAAACCAATTATCACACGTAAGGTTTCTTCCAGTACCCGATATTGGACCAATTAATCTCTCGATAATACAACTAGATCATTTTTTAAATGAAAGGGTCCCTCTGGTTGTAAACCAACATATGGTTCTAGATTTAATATGTCTAGTTTTTGCATCAACTAAGGCAAATATTTTTTATCCATAGTTGACGGTTTGAAAGGAATATACTGTTTAAAACCGCACCTTCCCCGAAATGCCTTAAGTTTCTTTCGTCTCGAGTTTCTAAATCGTCAAATCTAAGATGTCTTAACAAAAATAGAAAAACGTTACTGTGACATGGTTAACCAAAACAATTCAACCCCGCTGCAATTTCGCTCCCACAACTCTTCTGTTCCGATTACTTTTCAGACACCCTGCTAAATGGAGCAATCCTAGCAAAGCTTTTATTTTGATTACACGAGTATTTTAATAGAACGGGCTTTGTTATACATCGCCTTCATTTGATCTATATATTTGTTTGTACTTTCAACAATAATGTTCAAAACAGCTTCAGAAAAAAAAATTGCCGTACTGTATCAAATCGCTAAAAATGGATTTATATATATATATATATATATATATATATATATATATATATATATATATATATACAGTAAACTCTTAAATATTGGGAAAATCTGCAAGAAAAACTCTAATGTGTATCAATTGTTTCGCCGAACGTTTTCGCCAAAGAGAATTAATTTGGCTTCTTCAGGGCTGAAAGAGAATAAATTATAATTAGCTACCATATATTATCTAATAAAAAACATTTATCTTACCGTAAATTTTAGAAATGTCGAGTTAGGATGTTAAAAAACTTAGCTAGTAACAACATAGTGGTGTTTTTTGTTACTATGTGCAAAAAAGTTTTTTTTT